CAGACTGTGAGGAATAAATCTTTGAAGGATAATAGGCAGTGGAGGATAACAGATTATGAGGAATAACTAACTGTGAGGAATAATACTGTGAGGGATAACAGACTGTGAGGGATAACAGATTGTGAGGAATAACTGACTGTGAGGAATAAATGATTGTGAGCGATAACAGACTATGAGGAATAACTGATTGTGACGGATAACAGACTGCGAGGAATAACTGACTGCAGATTAACAGACTGTGAGGGATAATAGACTCTAACGGATAACAGATTGTGAGGGATAACAGACTGCGAATAATAACAGACTGAGAAATTACTAACTGAGAAATAATAGATTGAAGAATAGACTGTGAAACTTAACAGACTGTGAGGAATAAAAATAACTGTAAATCTGTTTTGTAATGTTATCAAAAGACTGTCATAGTTTTATTATTTTTATTTTAATTAAGCATAAAAATAAAGATAATACATAATACTGTACATAAATTTAATAAGTTGTATTACACTATTACACATTATTAAATTATTTATTCAATAATTGTAGATGAAACTAAAGCAAACTAAAGTTATCATTTTGTATATATATATATATATATATATATATATATATATATATATATATATATATATATATATATATATATATATATATATATATATATATATATATATATATATATATATATATATATGCATGCTGATAACCACAAGGAAAGAAGAAAACACGAAGTTCCCAAGCGCTTTCGTGTAATTCACATCTTCAAGGGTGAGTACAGACTCACCCCTGAAGATGTGAATTACACGAAAACGCTTGGGAACTTCGCATTTTCTTCTTTCCTTGTGGTTATCAGCATATACCTAGATCACGCGCACCTACAGTGATTTACTTGCATATATATATATATATATATATATATATATATATATTGTGTTAAGAATATTGGTCCAATTTGCTCCTACTCAGGTTTCTTGTAGTTGGAATTACTTAAGAACCAAATTTCAACATCATCCCGCATCTTGCTACTTAGTTTCCACTTTACATTGTGTCAAAATTTACATTCATAAGGTAGTTGTGTTAAACTCATACATACACTTAACTACACTGTTTGTTAAGTAATTACCTAGGGTTGCCATATGTCCGTATTTTCCCGGACAAGTCCTCCATTTAGGTCTCGAAATCTTCATCCGGAAGTAATTTTTTAAATTCTCCAAAAGTCCGGAATTTCAGCTTCCATCATTTTCTCCGCGGGAAAAAAAAACATGAAACTATAATGACGAGAGAGAGACTGAGAGATGGGAGGTGGAAACCGTAGAGATCACGTTCAGTTTTCGTCAGCTGATAAGTCACGTGCACGCCTGTACGGTGTTGTCAACTTAGCTGTCAAATATTTGATCGATAAGGGGGTAGAAGTTGATGATGTGAAGTGTTTTGACCAAGTTAGTAATCTGAAGCGGTTTGTGGAAAATTACAAGAGTGATGAAGAATTTAGTAATCTGCCAACATATAAAAAGTGGACCAGATACTTTGAAAAATCAAAGAACTTTGAATGCCACTCAGAATTGCTAAGAATTGCACAATTCTTCTTTACTATATCATCTCACAATGCAAATGTAGAAAGAGTTTTTTCACTGATGCAAAGTCAATGGACAAAGGAAAGGAACAAATTGAGTGTTGAAACAATGAAAGGCATTCTGACTGTACAGTACAACTTCCGAGAAACATCTTGCAGTGACTTCTATACCTTTCTAAAAAGTAATCAGCCAATACTGAAAAAGATCCGATCTACAGAAAAGTATGCATGGGCACATAAAGTCACACACCCAGTGGGGGAAGAAGACTGCAGCTAAAGAAGATATTCAGCCTTAAGCAAAGGTAATTTATTTTTTTTATTTTTAAGATTTCTATACCATGTATGTTGTATATTAGTCTACATTAAAAACACAATGCAATACAGTACACCGATACTGGTATGTATATATATATATATATATATATATATATATATATATATATATATATATATATATATATATATATATATATATATGCTATGCAAATATGCAAAATTAATTGTCACGGCTGCTTCAAGGTTACATCGCCAAAGTGTGTGCCGGGGGGGGGGTTTGTCTTCGGGAACGTCCTCTTTTTTGAATGTTCAGATATGGCAACCCTACCTATAACGTTGAACAGCAAAAATAATACACTATGTGGCATTATTACAACTGCAAATAAAGGGAAGTATTTTGGGTCAGAACACCAAAGTAATTATTCTAACATATATGACACAAATACCATTTATTTCTTATATTAAATATACATTAAGTAACATTAAATAATAAGTGTTTATGTAGTACACTACAAGATGAAGAAAGGTAACTTATAATACGTTTTAATCTGTTGTTGGCGATAAATATTCATATGGGAAGTAAGTTAAGTTTTAATCTTTATTGTAGGGCCATTACTTGTATTTATTACAATGAACTCATTTTACGATAACCTTTAGGTGAGCTGCTGTTGCTAATTAACACACAGGCCAAAACAGCAAATGTTGAGATAAATGAAACGTGTATTCCTTAACATCTGCCAGACAACAGAGCATGGAAATATTATCCCTTAAGAGTTTTAAATATACTTTATATGGCAAACAGTTGTCTCGCACTGCTGTACCGTAAAGCCTTGCACATCCATTACGCTGAAGGAAATACAGAAAATAGATCATGATGTACCAAAGTATCAGAAACAGACGAGAGCTCATGATTCATGTAAGGAATAGCGACGAGGTAGGTCTTCCTGCAGCTATAACCTTTGGTGTGTTGAAGTAGACTTGGTGTCGTCTGAGGAAGACTACCGCTGAGAGATCATCACACTATCTTAGCTACGAGTTAACTATCAAGATTGAAAATTGCTCAAGAATTTATCTGACGTTTGGTAAAATATTCATCTGTCTAGTTTTTTCTCTGAGGAAGTGCATAGTTGTCCTAGCTGGGGTATTAAAAGTATCTGACGGCCAACTATAACTACTTAATGTGTTGAGGAATATTGTTCCTTTCCTTACATGTTAGTCTACCTTAACGCTAGAGATATAATATTGAACAGCGAAATATTAACCTTTCTACTTTGATCTAAATACTAAACAAATTACAAATTATAAGCCAGAGGCATATATTAAATATATATAATTTGACGCTCATTTAATTTCTAGAAATATACGACAAAAAAAAAAATACTTGACACAAATCGAAATATCAAGTACAGTTGGTACTTTGAGCGACGTCATACTTGTCTCCCAGTGACCAGGAACAAGTGTATTACTAGGTAAATGACTATATTAGTGAATTATGTACAAAAATATACAATATCAAAGTTATGGCCTTTTAACGTGTGTGGTAATACGCCGGAGAAGACACCAGTAGGTAAGTCTCCCCTTAACTGTCACTTCCTCAAACTTTATATGGTGTTGTTTTGTCGAACTTGAATTTGTTGTGCAAAATGATGAAAGTTAAACTACAACAGCCTCAGAACTAAGATTATTTCCGTTTTGTTTTGTTTATGCTGAAACTGTGTGTGTGTGTGCGCGTGTGTGTGTGTACGATTTTATATATATATATATATATATATATATATATATATATATATATATATATATATATATATATATATATATATATATATATATATATATATATATATATATATATATATATATATATATATATATATATATATATATATATATATATATATATATATATATATATCATACGCTTCAGCATTTCCTAGTTTCCTATCAAAATAGGTAAAACAAAACCTTTTTATTGTTCTTAATAAAACTTGTTTCAAACAACTCGGCGATGTCATGCGTAATAATAATGTTTTCACGCATCACCTGAAAATCTTATTGAATGTCATACACCATGTTAGCCAGTTTGTCCACGAAAGTTATCACGCAGTGTATCACCGTTACATCTCAACATGTTGTTGGTACACAGAATGGCGTCGTCCACATACATACATACATACAAACAAACACACACACACACTTAAAGTCCTACACAGTGGTGGTGTAAGAGGTCCCCGCCCCCTTCCCAGACACTCACCCCTTCAAAAAGTCTTCATCCCATCCACACGCGGCCTCGTCGCCGTGTTATAGATTGACTACATGACTGTCATAGACATAACTCGCTGAATATGTTAACACAGCTACACATCCTTAATGATAAAGGTAAGATCAGCTGTGAGCTACACCAGGTGGTGTTATTCAAGGACTAATCCTTGGTATTACTGACCTTCACTATGCTCGACGCGCTTTGTTTGTCATTTTACTTTATATGAAAGTATTGACGTCTTTCACGACACTGGTGTACATGATATAGCTTCGCGGATCTGACCATGTTTGAGTGGCCAGCACTTTGTCGTTGTTCTTATACAGCAATATAACCTGATACATTCATGAATTATATAGCGGCTTTCACCAAGACATTTTACAGTTATTAATCACTCTTGTACACTGCAAATAACATTTTACTCTTATAAACAAGCTTACAATTTAGTCACAAGTAGGCGTAATTATGCTAAAATATGAGTAGGTCACAATCTTTGTGGTACTACGAGTTGTTTCAACTTTTCTGTAATAATGGTTTTTGTTCTGATTCGAGGTGTTTTAGTACGGATGCAGAATATTGCCGACGAGGTTCTCATGGCTTGTGTTGATTCAGTACAACTACTGGAAAAAAACTGTGTTTGTCTGTGTAAATGATTCATGTATTAGTTAAATTATTAGTAATGTTACAGTATTGAGTATGGACATAAGCCAAACGTCTCCAAAAGTGTAAGACTCACTACCCTGAGCCACAGTTTGGCTGGAAAGAGGGACATGGCACTGAATGATGTATATTATGCAGTAAAAAAAATCATAAATTAATACAACAAATTTATTGGTTTTTCTTTGGTACAAGTAAAGTTTCAATGTAACGAGTTATTATAACTTTACTACGAAGTGCGGTGACATATTTTTTTTTTGTGAAGTTACTAGTAATTTGGTGCTTAAGTCTGGAGTTTCAGTACACAGAAGAAACATTTGCTGCTCCTATCAGAGGTAAAGCAAGACGGACTGTTATCACCATACTTATTTACTGTTTACTGGGATCACTTAAAGAGTACGTTAATGACTACTTGCTTGGTTGTCACAATGGAGTTGTGTGTCAACTATTTTAGCAAAGCTAGTAACATGGCTATAATCTCTCTAAAGCGTTCTATATACAGGGTGTAAGATTTATTCTGATGCCCACTTCTCTTTGTTAAAATCTGATCAAAACATTTTTTATGTTTGTAAAATCACGATAATGTAAATATTATGTATTGTATGAACGAACAAAATTTACCAAGCTCGGTGAATTGACTCTTAAAAAGTCATTTAGTAGAGCTTTGATATTTAGGAAGCAGGTGGTAACGACTGATGAGGCACGTTGAAAGGTGAGGAGAAAAGCTTTATGTAAAGACAACTCCTTGATCCAACGCTTTGCTTGTGGTAATAGTAATGTAAAAATAAAAAAAATCCAGAATTTACTGCCGTTCAATATATATTTGTGCTCCATTATGTGTCTTATCAAGGTGTATCATTATATATTGAGCCAAGTGCTCTGTGAGTCAAGATTTAAGGGTGTTTCCTCTCTACTTGTAACACAATGGTAACACTCTTCCAGTACACTAAGACATGATAGTCTTCAACAAATATTATTAATAACAAAACTCAGGCGTGTGTTCTTGTCATCAGTTTTGCCAGAAAGTCATCTCGATAATAACTAGTCGGTATATATTTATGTACTATAAAACAGAGCATCGTAAATTTGTCAAAATATTAACATAGCAACGTTACACGACACACAAGATCATAATCCACATGAAAAAAATATCCAGTGTGCAAAATACACAGAAGAGTGATTAACCTGAATAAAAACAGGTGACAACAAGCCTCAGAGGAGGTGCGTGACCGGGAAGGATCATGAGTCGGTGATTAGTAACTTTGTATTTAAGTTGTCAGTACATCAACACGTAACCTACTACAGTTGATGACAATTTTGACGAGAAGTATTGTTATTCTCGTTACTTATTAAAAAAACAGGAAAACTGACCCATGAAATATTTGTATTATTATTAACCTTTGTTGGCGTTGGTTTTTGTTATAATTGTTTTAAGGATGATAATTTATGCTAGTATCCTCAGGGAATTGAACTATCATCATCAAAGGTTAATAACATCAAAGATTTTCATGACTCAACAGTCCTGGAAAATTGTAGGCTAAGGCAGAGGATCACTGAAGAGGCCTTCTTCGGCAGAGCTGAATTGAGCTCCTGATGCGTAAATCGTGTGCAGGTGGACCAATGACGTGCATCGTTTGTGTGGTTTTAGTCATACGCAGCAGGAAAGTAATTTGATATACCCCAAGAGTTCTTTGTTCAACTCCCTTAAAAATTAAGGACCTTTTGTGAATCATTCAGTTAACCTTCGCCCAATAACAGTGTTATGGATAGTTTATAATGTGGGATCTAACCTCTCGCGTAAGGGAAGCAACCAACGCCTCATATACCAGTTGCACCTCTCTTTTTATCACAATTAAATGATGTTATACAATTTTCGCATCTTTTCCTCCTTTTCCCTCAATTGTATTGTTTTACACACTGCTCGGGATAACTGTGGAAAATTTATCTTATCAAATGCCACTCGTCATATTTTCCTGTTAGGTGTTGAGTGAAAAAATTGTACCATTGTTCCCTCACTTCTCCCAAGCAATATGTCCCACATCCCTGGTTATTGGTTTATTGCTCAACCATTTAATCAAGATACCATTGTGGGGGCTCTACGTATAAAACATTTTTCAAAGGTTTATATTAACCATCCAGCGTTTTAATCTCTATGGGGCTCACCGCTTTTAATCTCATTACATTTTCTATGAAAAATTATAAACTTAAAGTTATATGTCTGAGAGATTCAGCAACCCTCATAAAAAATGTGTTTCATTGACTGGAAGAAAAATTAATGAAATCAATAAACAGCTGGATATTATTAAAGTAAAGGAGCAAACATAAAATATTCTGAGCAACAAGATCATGAATAAATCTTATATGCTTTATATTCACTTATAGGTTTGAATGAATTAATTTGAATATTGTTATATAATTGAATCCTACAGAGACGCAAATAAAACTGCAGGTGGGGAACTACATGACAGTAGCGCTGAATATCCTAAGCATTACAAACAGCAACTATAAGAATTATTAGTCGTAAGTATAATCGTTTGTTTGTAAGCTTTTGACAAACAACAGTGCTGAGACTGCATTGTGTTACACAGTACATTCATTGTGCATTATGTCAATACTGTTACATACCTGTATGTATTGTATTACAACAGTTACATGTGTACTGGGTTACACCACTTATACATGTATCATTGCTATGAGGTTCCTCGTGCATAATAAGTAATAGTAATAAAACGGAAGAGTTCGGGCAATAAAAGTCTAAATTCCAAGCTCAATCTTAGATGGTGGTACGTGTTTCGTTAATATACAGGGCGTCCATAAATGATTACCCTGATTAAAGCATGAGAGCATACTGTTTTTAGGGTAATCATTTATAGACACCCTTAGTGATAATGAGTGAGAGAGAGTGTGGCAAGGGAGAGGAGCCTCACCACTAACAGGTGACCAAAATTTCGTACACAATTGCTTAGTGACGAGCATGAAAAGTAGATTTACTGAAGGTTCGAGATAAGATAGTAGCACCAGTACCACACGTTGAACTGACGCTCTAGATAAAGTAGCACCAGTAACATATGTTGAACTGGTGCCCTAGTAAGATAGTAACACCAGTAACACATGTTAAACTGGTCCCCTAGATAAGATAGTAGCACCAGTAACACACGTTGAAGAGTCCAAATGCAGTCGGAAAGAGGATTCGACACCACTCATCGATCCTACGAGCCTTCATCTTGTTGGTCTGGGTGAGAGCTTGTACGAACTGGACAGGCAAGGTACTCAGCTCCTCCGGTGTGGTCTTTCCTCCCTGTAGGTCACATCCAGGTGGGGAGTTGGTGGGGGAGTGAGTGGGTGGGTGGCGAAAGAATACAGAGACAGACAGAATTCATGCAAAAGAAAGTTGCCTCCAGTATACAAGAACAACAATTGAAAAGCAAAAACCGAAACAAGTATAAAAAAAAAATTATTATAGAAATGAAACAGCAGAGAAGACAGCATGTACAGTAAGTGACATGAGAACAGTTGTGGGTGAGAGGCAAGAAAAGGGGAGATAAAATATGACAAGGAGATATGAGAAATGTGAAAGGTGAGACAAGGGGGGAAGGGGAGGGGGGGAGGAGGAGGAGGAGAGGAAAGACCGGTTGGAAATGTCAAAAGGTAAGAGGAATGGGGAAATGGTGATGGGAAGAGAAAGAGTAAGAATTATTAGTAAATGTTAGTATATTTTCTAGCTCTTCTGAGTAGATATGGACATGACACACACGTTAATTATAATACTTATCAAATAAAAGAAACAATTGGATCTTATTTAGATGGGTCAATATATAGTTTGACCCCCAAAATTGCTACAAAAAATTTTTTTTGGTGGTGTTAGATTTATTGAGGTGTGTTTTATAACATACTAGCAGAATCGCCGCCCTCCGGGCGGCTCATCCGCTAGGCAACGGGAGGACGCCACCCTCCGGGAGGCTCCACATTGTCTCACTGTTCAGTCCCCAAAACTTCTTCTTGCATCAATAGTTCATTAACGGTGTATGTAAGTTCCACCATGTTTTTCACTACAACGGTACAACAAAGTATATTTTTTAGCATTAAACTGTTATTATTTTATTGTCTAATCATCACTACATATAACACCACCCATCATCACTATATAAAACATCATCCATCATCACTACATATAACAAAATCCATCATCACTACATATAACACCACCCATCATCATTACATATAACACCACCCATCATCATTACATATAACATCATCCATCATCACTACATATAACATCATTCATCATCACTACATATAACACCACCCATCATCACTACATATAACAACATCCATCATCACTACATATAACATCATCATCCATCATCACTACATATAATACCATCCATCATCACTACATATAACATCATCCATCATCACTACATATAACACCACCCATCATCACTACATAAAACAACATCCATCATCACTACATATAACACCATCCATCATCACTACATATAACAAAATCCATCAGCACTACATATAACACCACCCATCATCACTACATATATCATCCATCATCACTACATATAACATCATCCATCATCACTACATATAACATCATTCATCATCACTACACATAACATCATCATCCATCATCACCACATATAACACCATCCATCATCACTACATATAACACCATTCATCATCACTACAGATCGGTAAATTAGTTTCCGAGATTCTCCTGTGGACATGGACACACACACACACACACACACAAGCACACAGACATACATCTTTGTTTTATATATATATATATATATATATATATATATATATATATATATATATATATATATATATATATATATATATATATATAGACAAAAAAATCTAGGAAGTGACAAAATTAGGTCAATGCAAAATGGCTGTTTTCCAACACCTTTCTGCTAACTATACCTCCAGAATAACGTCACATCTGACTCGATTAGTGAACTTCAATTTGCCCAAAAGATGACACTGGGCATATACATTTAAATAAAGAGAACATAATCATTATTCAGACACAAAAATATGAACATATTATCATTTGAGACACTGGACACCATAAATGTGCACTGTATATCCCTATAACTTCCTCTGCTTCTAAACTATTAATTTGTGTTGAGCGAAAATTTGTCATACTGTTGAACATTAGTTTTGGGAAAGTCATATTTCATAATTACACGCTTTCTCTTGTTTTACTCACTTCTCGTATTCGTGTCGTGATGTGTTGTTGATGTTATGAATTATGTTATTAAGTACAGCAGTAAAGAGCTAGGGTGATATGGGACCACCTTGGAGTACCCTCTTAAAATTTGAATTTTCTTTTAACAGAAAAATTAAATTCTGTAAAAATAAAAAATAAAACACCAATTTTAAAGGTATGTAAAATTTAAAACCCATATTTGAATCCTGCCAACGCAAACTCGTACGTGAATTACAATTTTGTTTAGGATCTCTCTCTCTGAACGCTTGTCCGTGTGTCTGTTTGTCTGTCTGTCTCACACACACACACACACAAAAAAAACTTTGATCATGAAAGTCAATGGTTTGGAAAGTGAAACTGAGAGAAAGAGAGTGCTTCCCAGAACACAACTGGCAATGCGATAAAATCACACCAGTAAAGAATGAGATAGAAGGTGATGGTGATGATGATGACGAAGAGGAGGAGGATGAGTAATAGTAGAAGGAGCAGGTGGACGAGGGGGGGAGTAATAGTAAGAGAAGAAGGAGGAGGAGGAGGAGGAGGAGAGAGAGAAGAGGTTGAAGTGGGAGGAGGAGGGGGGTTTGGGAGGGAAGAGGAGGAGGGGATGGAGAGAAGAGGAAGGGGGGTGGAGTGAGAGGAGGAGGGAGCGGCTTGGGAAGAGGAGGGGTGGAGAGGGAAGAAGAGGAGATGAGGAGTAATAGGATAGAGTGAGAAGAGCAGGAGGAGAAGGAAGAGGAGGAGGGGAAAAATAGAGGACACGAGGGAGGTAATGGTATGAGCCAGCTGCCAATCTCGTCACTCCTTATACCATCTGCCACACAATCAGTCTCGTCACACCTCACACCCTCGTCCACACCATATGTCAAATAACATTCCGTCACACCATCTGGCAGTCTGGTCACCCCTCTCACCCTCTGTCCACAGAGTAACCCATCAGCGCCCACATTCTCCATTGTCAAAGTCGTGTCTCCCTTTCTAGTAATTCTGTTCCCGCAACACCAATCAGTTCCCTCAACCTCACTCAAAAACACGTTTCATTTTCTCTTAAACCTTGCCCTCTCTACTGTCCCTTATGCCCTCTCTACTGTCCCTTATGCCCTCTCTACTGTCCCTTATGCCCTCTCTACTGAACCACCACACCCGCTCTACTGACCCCCACACCCTCTCTATTGACCTCTACGCTCTCTCTACTGAACCCCATGTCCTCTCTACTGGTCCCTACACACTCCCTACCTCCTCTCACGCCCTCTCTACTTACCCCATGCCCTCTCTTCTGGTTTCCACGCCCTCTCTATTGCTTGTCCACTTCCTCTGTCACTTATTGTCTCATTTCCTTTCTTTTCATTGTCTTTGTCTCGTTTCTTCCCACTTCATTCTACCCCTTTTCACTCTTTAAATATTCCTGCTCTGTATTCTCTTCCTTGTTCCCTCTCATTTATTGTTCACTGTGGTGTCTCCATCACCCGTCTCTGTCTCACCGTCTTTCATTTTCTTCGTCTCTCTGTATCTTCGTCTTTCAGTCTCTGGCACTCCTCTCTGTTACTTTGTCTCTCATTCTCTGTCTCTCCTTTTCCCAGTCTCTCTATGGCCATCTCTCTGTGGCTATCTCTTTGTCTCTGTCTGTGAGTCTCTGTCTCTCCGTCTGTCTTCGTCTTTCTGCCTCTCTGCATTTACGTCTATCAGGTTCTCTGTCTCTGTCTCTACGTCTCTCCGTTTCTCAACCTCTTTTTCTGTTTTCCGTCTTTTAATCTCTGTCTCAATATCAGTTCAGTTTCTCCGTCTTGCATTCTCTCTGTCTCTACGTCTCTCCTTCTCTCTGTCTCTCCGTCGTTAATTCTCTCCTTCGTTATCAATTTATTCTTCTATGTCCCTCCCCTTCATCCATTTCTTCTCTTCCTTCTGTTCTTATATTTTTATCACACACGCACACACACACCACATAATCAAAAGTGACAATTTCGTTTCGGAAAGAAGTGGGATCAGTATTGAACAGTGCTTAAGCCAGTGAATTCAGCACTAGACAGTACCAGTGAGAGCCGTGACCCCTGGGAACCATCCTCTGACCAGACGGTGTTAATCCGTTCACCCTGGGAACAACAGCGGGGCCGGATATGCACCTGACTACGAGATAACATCACCGAGCAGAGAGAGAGTGAGGTACTGTGACACCACCCCACACCATAGGGTGCCCCATGACCACATGAGGTCCTTCATATCAACACCCGAGGACGAGTCACTGCACCATATGAACACCACACCATACGGTGTCCCCATGACCATGTGAGGTCCTTCATATCACCACCCGAGGATGAGTCACTGCACCACGTGAACACCACACCATACGATGTCCCCATGACCACGTGAGGTCCTTCATATCAACACCCGAGGACGAGTTACTACACCACGTGAACACCACACCAACCCGATGTCTCCATGACCACGTGGGATCCTTCATATCAACACTCGAAGACGAGTTACTCCACCACGTGAACACACCACCCGATGTCTCCAAGACCAGTCCAGGCCCAGCCCATCAACTGTAAACTATAATAATTTGTACGTTCAATTCATGTTCCTTCTTTCAGTAATGAAAGCTTTTGTTAAACGACCCACCTACCTCATGTCTTTGTGTGTAATATGTCATTTTTGTCCAATGTATATTTTCAGCCTTCGGGTTGCAGAACTTTTTCAATAAACCGTTAATTATTATTATTATTATTTTTTTTTTTTTTTTTTTAATTTACGCACACACACACTCCAGTATTCACACACTCATAAACTGTAGTACTCCCACACTCACACAACCCAGTACTCAGACACACAATCCAATACACACACACACACACACACTCTCTCAAGTATTCATACTCTACAGTAGTCACACACTCTGGTATCCTACTATTACTTCTTTGCTGTTACATTTAATCGAGTATGACGTTTACCCAGCGGCGAAACAATAATAAGAGGCGAGTTTTTATTTACGCCAGTCTTCGTTGGTAAGCTCTGAGGTGGCCCGAGAGGTCGATGCAGATGTTACACATGTGGAGCTGTACATCTAATGAGGGAGG